TGCCATCACTATATAAGAAGGGATATTGAGAAATTACTGAACTGTTGCAAATATCTAGTCTGAATCATAAAATTTTGCATTGCAGAGTTCATTGCAAAAATCTATTGCTGTAAGTACTAATAAGTACTAATAACATTAGTTAAGAATGAGTTCAGAATCTTACCTTGAAAGACAAATAAAGTAGCTGCTGCATTCATGTATAGTGATAATCCAGCATAGTCTGTTTCCTTCTGTTTCAACACAAGGAGGAAGTGACTTGTGTTTCTTTGTTGAGATGGTAAAGCCCCAGGTGTTTTTTCCAGGTATTTAGTACATACTGATACAGAATACACAAGAGGAGTAGAAGTGCGGTAAAAACATTGTAAATTCTGTCAAAGATTAAATCAGTCCAAAAGAGTTGATAGAATAAGGAAAAATCTACTTTGTGTAATGATGTAAATACCAAAGGATATTCTTGTTTGTATAATGGAAACAGAAAGTGACTTCATAACCATTTCCCCTGGGTGGTGGGTTTTTTTATTATTTCATGGGTTTAATAAAAAAATCAAGTTGAAGACCTAGATAATTCTAAAAAGATGCACTGTATTACAAATGTCAGAAATTATTCCATTCCATATACTTCTTGCCCTATTTAGTTCAATTAATAATGAACATTAATGAATTACATTGTTTATTGCATTTTTTGTTTTGCATGTCCAGCACTTGAGCAGGCAGGTGGAAACAGTCTAACTGTATTTTACTGACAAATTTCTCTGGGTATACAGTGTGACTGTTACGAAGGTAGAATTAGGAAAGTGAATTGCTTTTCTATAATATATCTTCTGCTATTTTCATGTATGATTTTATAGCAGACGAGCATTATTTACCTGCTTGCCTGGAATAGCATGTTGTTTCTTTGTACAGGGAATGTTAACTGAATTAAGCACATGAACAGTTAGCCCATTTGCTTAGGGGAGGAGGTTGTTGAGGCAAGGAGGTTATGGCAGGATACGGAGCAGTCTAGAGGAAAAATATTGTGGATGTAACCATTCTGCTATAAGAACTGAATTGAAATGGGAACATTACTGTTAATTCATGTATAATTACATTCTTTTGTTGTTAAAAATTAAATCCTGGGCAAGAGGAAAGTTTGAGCCTGGGACTGTGTTTTGAAGCAAATTTGAGCTGGTGCCTTTCCAAAAACCTTTGCCAGGACATAGTCACCTGATGGACAGATTTATATTCTTTTTTCGTCTAATGTTTCTCTGAGTTTATCAGCATCTTTCATCATGCAGGTTATTTATAACGTATCACCTAGAATGAAGTTTTGCTTCTCTTTCTCTCTTCTCTCCACTAAACCACAGTTTGAGGGAAGGATTCGCCATGCACTGTTCTTTCATGTGCCACCTCTGGGTCAGCCATCAGGAGTTCGCTGTTCTTTGAGACTGGCTTTTAAAAATGCACAAAATTCTTTGCAGTTCATTGTGCTTCATGTGATCACTACCGTGGAACCACAGGTCCCAAAGCCCTCCTTGCAGAAATAATTCTGGAGGAGTCTCAGCAGGGATATGGGTTGCAAGGCCTTTGTACCTTGAGATTTGTGCCTTAAAAAATTGTGCATGCGTTCTCTGTAACATGGGAGCATCCTGCAGTGTTTTCCCCCATAAAGCGTGTTTTTAAAATGTTTTTATATTTTGTATAATGATTATTCTTCCAACATTGCCACTGCTTCTCTGCCCCAAGATGCTGTTTTTAACTGTGTTTTTTTATGTGAGGAATTCCCTTTCACTAGGAACTGTGGGCTTTACTGCATCTGAAGAGTTCTCCCCTCTTTGCTCTTTTCCATCAGTGTGCCAGCCTGATGCATCTGTTTTGGATGAGAGTTGTTCACATTTCTACCCCAGGCTGTAAGTTCATCTTGTCACGGGAGTATCAGTTCAGACTTTTCTCAGCTGCTTGTTTCTCCAGTGCTGGTCCCTCCCTTGTCCCCCGTTGTACCCGTATGTACTTTGAAATACTGGAATTTGTCATTCCAGCTGAGAGGGGCCACACCAGTGTGGTGCCCCAGTCTGGCGTCCTTCGTACAGGCCATAACATGTGAAAGTGACTGTGTTAGCTTTTGCTGCGTTTGCAGGCAAATGAAGCTTAATGTCTCTGTCCAGGCTCTGATTTACCAATGAGATTATTTATTTAATCATTTCAATCTGCATTGTTTGTGGCTTTTCAGCCTCTGATAGACCTCCTGTCAGAGTCCAGCACCACAGAACAACAACGTTCGCTGGCTTGCTCTGTACTTTATCATGTGTTGTCTTTAATGTATTTGTGGGATTGATCATTACTTCACTACAAATCTTCACAGTGTTAACCCTGAAAAGTTATAGAAGTGAGCTAAGAATTAAAAGGCTTTCAAAGCATCCTTGTCCTGAAACAACTCTGCAGGGCATGAATAAGTAACAAATGGATTGTTTTTCAGTCAGAATGAATCAGCTGACATGAGCTGTGAAAAATCTAGCTGAATTTTTACAGATACCTGTAGGGTTATATTTCTCCCCTCTTAAGTTATACAAGAATTTAAATTGCCTTGAATCAATGATCATAGGCTGAATCGACCTCTGAAATTATAGATCATCTTGAACCTTCTGAGAAGACCAAAATGTATGGGATTCTGTGTTAGAGAGGATGTATTTTGCCTGTGTTTCGTGTATGCATTTAACATGACACTGGGTTGATTAGATGATTTCCTGAAGCCACAATTTAGTTCTTCAGGGTCTGACTATATCATTTTTTTAAAAATACAATGTGCAGTAAGAAGCTGTACTTGTATTTATGGCTGTTGATTCACAGTAATTCCAGAGTAGATAGAGGTGGATATTTAAAGAAGGTATCAGTCAATTGAAGATTTTGAGGAAATAACTGCTTGCAGTTTCATTTTTAAAATGTTTTTTCTTTCTCTTATATGTCAGACCATGTTAAATATGTGTATAAAGTTACTAGTCATGTATGCTATGTACAGACTTGTACATGTATGTTATGTGCAATAACCTTGTACAGACATGAAGTTACTGTTTTCAAATAAATATCTCCAGTAGAAGTTGTACTGTGGCACACTTAACTTTTCTTCTTCAACATCTCATTACTTTCAGTATAAATCTTTTGGAAGGACCACAAATAAATAGGTGGTCTTAAGTAGCTTTTATTTTTCCCCAAAGTGACCTTAATGTATAGAATAATGGGGTTTTTTAGAACTTCCTTACAAAACACTCACTTTAGTGATTAAAAACTTTGCTTTTTGCTTCTCACAATTACAGAAGCAAACCAGCACGGGTTAGACTAATCTGGTCTTCCCATCTGATGTCTTTGACAATGCACACTAAACGTCTTCACTCAGCTTTCTTGCCTCTCTTTTGTCAGTGTAGTAGTTCCTGCCCGCTGGCACGTAAGGAGGTGGCTGAAGGTGCCCTACTGAATGCTCTTTCAGGACTTAGGCCAAACATTCCAAGTTGTGTTCTGTCTTTAACATCTGGCAAATGTGCAGTTTTAAAGTTGAACGTTTTCACTGGAGTGTTGAGCATTTCCTTACATGGTTTCTTGTAAATCTGTTATTTTTCATCTGTGGGATGCATAGAAGTCCTGGGAGGTAAGTGCTGGTCTTCAGCCCGCTTTAGCTTTGCCTGATCCCCGTATGCCAAATTTTTAATATGTGCCATGCCACATGGTCGATGACGTCTGTTTGTTGTGGTCACTGGGATAGCTCCTTCCAGGACTTGCCTGAGTTGCAGACAAGCTGGGAAGGCAGTGAGGAAAACTGACAGCTGTGAGGTCAATTCCACAGCTTTGGCAGTCAGTGTGTGAAAAGGTCCTATGGTAGCATTGGTGATGATGCTTTGATATTAATCTTGAATACCTCTAAAACGTTCTGTATTATTAAACTGATAGTGGCGATGTTTATTAATGGTACCACCATGGGAAGGTAACAAGACACCTTTAGAGCCCTCTGGTTGAAGTGTTTCAGGATTTCGTGCTATTATTTCTGAAAGAGCATGGTAACAGAGAACATAGTGAGGTCTCGGGAGAAATTAGGCAAGATAATGTGATTGCTGAAAAATTAACACAAGACGCAGCTGTATGATAAAAGCTTTAAAAAGTTTTTTCAAACCATATAAAGTCAAGAGAAAAACTAAAAGCGACTCCCCAGGCAGGGCTGAAATAAATGTGTTGTATCTGCTGAGGCTTGGTCCTGTAGTATTTGGCATAATTTGAAAGTTGAAGATACTTTAAAATTTATAGTTGTTTCTAAAAAAATTCTTGAAAAACAACTTCAGATTCTGTTTCCTGAAAGTGCAAAAGTTCCGCTAAGTACAGTAGGTTTCCTTGTTTTCATGTGTTAATTCTGATCTTCTAAAAGCGTGCAAATGGCATTTGTCTTTGGATTTACAAAAACTCTAGATATTCAGAGTTTGAATTATTTAAACTCCCACAACACATGCACTTTTGCTTTTCAAGCTTGAGTTATAATTTAATTAAAAACTTCTGGTGCATCGCTAGCTATTTAAATATTAAAATGTTCCATGGATCACTTTCGATTATCTACCATCATGAAATTCCTGAAGATGTCAGATTTTTAAGATTCCCAAAGTTGCACTTGGAATTGTCTGTTGAGGCAAAGGGGACTGTGATAATTACATACATCCATTAGTATCAGCAGAGGAGATAAACTTTGGGGAGGCTTAATGGGCATGTCTCAGTGACAGCTAGCAAAGAACATTTGGCATGATTAAGGATGGATTTGAATGTACTTGAAAATATACTCTCATTATGGACGCCCAGTGGAAGTTGCACTACAAATGTTAAATTCCCCAGAAGAAGAGTTGTGTGGCAGGGAAGCTTTGAAATCCACTGTGGCCGTCATCCAAATTACTCTCTTCTCTTTGTGTCTTTCTGCTGTCAGATTCACTTTGTGATGCCCAACTTGGCGCTCTGCATCTTTGAAAAGAGGCAACCTGTTGGTTTCTGTGTTTCAGATTGTCCGAAGGTACATCAAGGACTGGCTGGAGAGGAAGAAGCCTCCATTTGGCGCTATCAGCAGCTGTGTGCTCCTGATGATCATCTACACAACATTCTGTGATACGTTTGCCAATCCAAATATTGACCTTGATAAATTTAGTTTGATTATAATAGTGTTCATAAGTAAGTTCAGTCTTAAAGCATCTTTTTGTCTGTGTTCCAGGTGTGTAGTGAGCTACATGTACTGGAAAGGGTGAGACAGTGGGGGTACTGGCATGGGGCTAGAGCTTGTACTTTTAATGCATCTAGTAAACTAAATTACCAGAGTTCTTGGGGGCTGGATGCTTTTAGGGCATTGAGTAAGCATTTAGAAAGGGATTTAGGCATGCCTGAGATTGCTCAGTGGCCCTCCCTTTCTAAAGGGGCATGATATTACTTCTAAGTGTTTACAACCATTCTGGTTTGGCTTCTTTGTTATTAAACAACCGTAAATGCACAGATGTTGCTTTCCAAACAGAAAAGAAAGATTTGGGTTTGAGTTGCTGCTCAAAATCACTGTTATAACTTTTGAATAGTTCCTCCTTACCATATTATAAACCTAGAAACTAGCTGGGAGTTCAAATGTGTTGATATATTTCTGTGGATGAACACATTTCTTGCAGAGTTTGTTTTAGAAGCACTCTAGTCATTCAGCCTTAAATAACATACACATGAGAATAAACTGCTGGTATCTTTGCCATCAGTTAAAAATACACTTGCAGATCACTGCCTCCCAGGGAAAGGCAGTGGCATACAGGCACTGTCTCCTCTCCCAGCAGGGAATACCCGTCTTGCTTCAGACTGTCCAGACACAGGAGTTTCAATTTGCTTGGGGGAGAGGTAACTACAGTATACTACAATAGAAATTATATCTCATACACTCTAAAATTGTTAGGTTTCAAGAAATCAATGCATCATCTACTTTGAAGTGTGTGTGTGTGTGCACGTTTCTGTCTAATAGAAATAATATATTTTCTATAAATCCAATCTCCACTGATGTCAGTAGAAAATTTGCCCCTACCTCTCCCCTATTTGTGCAGTTTCTTTGATTATGAAACACTATATGTGTGTAAAATACTACATGGAATTATAAATGGTGCTGTACAAATACTTTATTCTGAAAGCAAAGAAAGAAGAAGCCATGCTAAGGAGCTTTTTTGTAAAATGGAGGAAATTATTTTTTACACAAGCACCTGATAAAAGGGCCACATCCTAGATGCACTTAAATCAGTGCAGAGTTGTCAGCAGAAAAGAGGGACATGGAAATTTTCAACTCTGACTTCACTTGCAGAGAAACTCAGACTGAAGTAATTTTATGTTATTGTGCTGGCCACTTCTTTGAAAAAGTTCTTTTTTAGTTAAAAAGGCATGTTCTTCCTTGAACAGTTGGTGTGGAGTCCTTGCTTCCATTGCCTTTCTTGTCCTTTCTTTTATTTCTCTGCAAGACAGCTCTGCTTTTGTGCCATGTGTACTTGTACATACCTCTTGCAATGCAATACACTGAAAATCATTATATATACATTTTTGTTGTCAGTGTGCCTAACTGGAGTTTCTTAGTAAGAACATTAACAGGAGCATTGAAGCTGCTTGGAACATATTAGACAGTTGTTTTTTTCCTAAACTATTTGTAAAATCAAAAAACCAAGGAACTTGAGATGGGTATACACGTTGTATTCTAGAAAAGATTTCTGTACCACCCGCCATTGGATGTGCTGGCTGCATCTATCTGTTATGTTATATCAGGATGGGGAATTAGCACAAGGAGTTTGAGATGAAGCTGCATTTATTATTCTGCTGATTAATGTTTTTGTGTAATTTTTATGTTATTATTCTAGCCACAGCAAAATATGCACAAGGGATCATTGTAGCAACACATGCTTACTGCTTTACAGAATTAGACGTATTAAGGGATTTCTTTTTTCTCTGCATATTGAATTAATGTACTTAGCTGCAAAAAAACTGTAATTCAGGAACATTGGATTGCTCCCTTAGATCACGAAAGAAGAATTAAGTGCATGCTGAGGTGCCATTTATACATCCTAGAAAACGTATGTAAGAGAATGGAACACGTTACTGGTAATAGCTAATATCCCTGCCATGTTGCCCAGTTGTAAACTGGGGTCAAAATCAGATTTATCGTCTTGCCTTGCACTGCCCTATGGGACATATTACCCTTATTGCATTCACAAGTTTTGCAAGTAAAAGGGAGAGGACCCACCCCAGTTTCCACTGTAATCAAAATCCCTTTCCCCCATAACCCACAGACACACAGAAAAGGTCTGTGCAGGTCACAGGGTTTCTCCTCCAGCCCTGTGGGGAGTTCCTGCGCGCCGGCATGACACTCAGTCTCTGTGGTCCCAGCAGCTACTCGTGATGGCAGCGGGGAAGCCGCCTGCTTTCCCCCCACGTCTCCACAGACCAAGCAAGGGTGGGCTCTGTGCATCCCAAAACCCCTGTGGGTGTCAGGAGAGCTGGTAGGGAGAAGAGCATCCTTCAGGACGCTCAACAACCGACTGCACTTAGAAAGCTGACTGAGCCTGAATGAAAAGCTGCTTTGTCTGAGGTACGCTGCCCAGGTCAGCAATTAGCCTTTGTCTCAGGGAATTAAAACATCTGTGATGGTCTTCTCTCAGTAGTGGTCATTCATGGTGAGAGTAATACACCTCAATATACACTGTGTGAGAATATTTATTTTTATCATGCTTACACATTTTACTTTCTCCTGTTAAATAGAAAGGGACAGAATTTAGATACTTGGCATCTAGAGCATGTCTGAGACATTTTACGTTGTCAACCCAATAAGCAAAACTAGTGCAAACAGATGTGTAGCATGCAGTAGTGAATTTTCCTGCCATTCATCGTGTCAAGAAATACTTGATTCATAAGAGTTACCTCAGGAAGAACTTGTGTAGCCACGATATTCGCTCTAGCTTTGTTGGCTGTAATGATACATACTGTTCTTCCAGACAGTCGTTAGAGGTTGTTTGTCATTGGATTTCTCTGGATAGACTTGGTCCAGCCTAGCTTCTGACCTGTGGTATGGGGGCAAAAGACCTGTATACAGCAACTGCAGAAATTTAAGTGATCTTTACTTTTGGGATCTAAGTCTAATTTTAATGTGTTTCTCTTTCAGTATTTTCCATTCAGATGAGCTTCATGTTTTTGACTTTTCTCTTCTCTACAAGGTAATTGAACGAGCTGAAGCAGAACCTTTGAATGTTTGTTTTGTGTGATATCTTTGGTTTGGGTGATACAGTTTATGCAAATGTGTGAGGGCAGGTTTTTGAATAGGGGTGACCTCATTTTGGCATTTCATATTGTCCTTACTGCATTTTTTCTGTTAGAGTTTCATGGGCTAAGAGAGCAGGACCTGAATTCTGTCCTTTCTTGTGTGTTAATTACAGAGTTCTTAAATCTCAATCAATCACTGCTATACCTCATCCACTGAAAAAAATGGATTTGCCCAGATGTCACTGAAGGTATAATTTGCCCTGCAGACATGCTGATGACATATGAGAGAGAGAACTCAGTTTGACTTTTTACATTTCAAGATACATTTGCTGGGCTGGCAATTCACTCTTCTCTGTATATGTCCAATCTGTTACGTTTATATGGTGATTCTTAAAGACAGTTGTCCTGAACTAGTGTTTGGTAGCTCTGGGTTTGGGGTTTTTTTTTCCTTTTAAAATATCAACCAGGAAGAAGAGTTGTACATCCACTTCTCAAAAAATAGTTCTGTGAGAGTGGTGCTAGCCAGTGGCGTAGTGCATCACCTCAGCTGGTCACGGTAGCCACCACTGTCGTCTCACTTAGGCTTACTGGAGTGTTTTTCTTAGCAGCACCCTGCAGAATGGGAAGTGCCACAATGCAGCAGACTCCAGACATACACATTACATAAATTATACAACATCTGTAGGGGAGAATCACAAGGAATGGGGAAATGTCTTAGAGCTACTTACGCTCTTTTAGTGCCACAAGAAGATTTCTCTGTGACAGGATGATACCCTGACCCTGATCATGTTAGAAGGCATTTTAAAATAACTTTGAACTACTAGACCTAATCTGGGGTGAAGATATGTCCCAACTGTAAAATCTAAAATGCTGTTAAGTAGTAATCAACTCAGTATGGTAAATATTTAGAATCTCATAAAATTATTCTTAATTTGGACCAGAGGGTGATCCATTGGCCAGTCATATACCCCTCTCTGTATGTCATTTTTCCACCTTTCCTGGCCTTACTCCCAGTGTATAAACCCTTAGGTGCAGTTTTTGGCTGAGGTGGAAGATAATTACATATTCTAAGCAGTACTCATAGTGCTGACTCAATTATACTGTCTAAATTGAGCATTTTGTTAACATTACATACTAGGAAAGAAAATTGTAGGTCTTTTGTTTTTGGGTTTTGTTTTGTTTGGGGGTTTTTTTTGTTTGTTTTGTTTTCTTTTTACAGAGGCAAGCTGGCCACGGCTATGATATAGCATGTTTGCAACAATAACCTTGGCAGGAATAAAGTTGTGTCCTACATACCATGTATTCAGAATTCCTCTCCTTCACAGAGGATTATATTCATTAGAGAGTTTGCCACAACTGAGAAACAATTCTGCTTAAAAAAAAAAAAAAAAAATTAAATCAAACACTACTGTTTATTTGTGAGTAGAATTATTTCTGTCAGTAGGCCTGATCAAAGTGATGTGAACGTGCATGTGGATCCTCAAAGTAATATGTTTGATGATGTTTTAAGAAGGTTTTTGCTATCAGAGGTTATTAAAACTCTTTCTTTTCTAGGAATAACTCTAATTTCACACCAGCAGACACAGTGGCTATCATTTTCTGTTCCACACACAAATCCCTCACCCTGGGTAAGTCAGGAGATAAACTTTTGAGCAAAACAATGGTGACATTCATACCTTGCTATGTTGGGGAAAAAAAAAATTGTTGTTGATTGCTGGCTTAAATAGTTTTGGGTTTGGTGTGACAAGTAATGCTACCAGTATGATACTGACAGTAGGTTAATATTCTTGCACAGATAAAGTGAATGCTTCTTGCAGTGCAGACAACATAGTAGTCTCAGCTGAGATTTTAGTGGTTGTATGATAAGACCACCTTATTTATGAAAAGCTGGATTTTTCATTCTGTTCTTACTCTGTTCTGTTGACTTATCCAATATTGATAAAATTTCAGGTTTGTTAGTAAGATTTTCAGGTATATCTGCCCAGTCTCACAGTAAAATCTTGCACCTGAAAGCTGGGATGTACAAGTGAAAATCAAAGCATGTAGTGTATTCAGAAATCACAAATAGACAATACTGTCTTTTGCTTAACATGAGCAAAATATATGTGCTTATTTTAAGTCTGCAGATATTTTGGATAGTTTTATTTACTAGAAATTATGTTTATCAAAACATCATTGAGATATTTGCCACTTATGACCCCTTAGTGATAATAAGATGTTCTGATGGAAATTCACAAAATACTGCTAAATCAGTTATGCTTAGATCCACTTGCTACAGCTTCATCCATTATGTTCAGTTAGTGAAACGACTAGTACTTGAATATTTTCTTACTGTTTTTTAAAATATGAAAACATGTGTGTGATAAATTGTACGTGACTGAACATACGCGTTTTCAAGACTGCATCTGTCAAAGAGAAACGCAGCTAGTGTCAATAACAAAGGTAAGAACTCAGCCTGAAACAGGGGAAGAACAAGTCGGGACTTAAGTGAGATGTTTTCCAAGTCAATTGGATATAGCAAAACTCATCTGAGGGTTCTTTGCTCCAGCCAGGCCTGTGCTGCAGAACTGTTAGCAAGTGCCCTTGAAAGTCTGTGGAAAGTGAAGGAGTTCCTGGAAGACAAGAAAAAGACAAACATAATGCCTCTTTTTCACAGTGGAAACGAGGAGGGGACAAGGAATTATAGATCAGTGAGTCTAACTTCATTTTGTAGAAAAACTACGGAAACAAATAATTAAATAAATCATTTTAACAGCGTAGGAAGAAACAAGAAAATGAGTAGCAGCCCTGTAGGTTTGTCAAATGTATATCATACCAAACTAATCTAATTTCCTTTCACACAGTCCTGTGGGTTGCAGAGAAGTAGCAAAAGTTGTATGGCTTGAGAGCGTTATGGCTTTTGACATTTGCATGATGTTTTCGGCTCCATCATTCAAAAATTATGTTGACCAACTGGAAAGAGATCGGAGAAGAGTGCCATGAATGATCATAGATCTCAAAAGTGTGACCCCGGAGGAAGGTTGAAACAATTGGGATTGTTGAGGGAAGACAGCTGAAATACAGTAGTGATCTTCAAATGCATTAAAGGTTGATGCAAAGAAGGAAAAAGTAACTCTCACAATGGGCTTTAAAAAGGGAAGGACTTGTACAATGATGATGATTTAAGCTAACAATCAGGGAATCCTGTCTAACGTGAAACAGTTGAGCTTTGGAATGCGTTGCTTATTGATGTCTTGAATCCCCTATCATTGTAGACAAGCCTTAGACAGGAATTAGGTAGCTAGAGTTGATCTTGCCTCGGAGCAGAACATAGATTAAATGACATTAAGTCTTTTCCAGGCAAGTGTTCTATGAAACTGAAGCTTCAGCTAATAAACGAGCTTGTATTCAGGAGGACAGTTACACTTGTACTTATAGAAAGCAGATCTACACGGGAGTTATAACACGTTATTGTACTTTCTATTTGGAGGTGTGTATAAAGTTAGGACACAACTGTGATACTACAGAAGAAAAGTTGGTTGTATTTAACAGCACAGATGTGTAAGTCTCCCCTTCCCTCCCCAGTGAAAATAGTTTTATATAAGCTCTGTTGAATACCTCTGCAGCTTACCATGACAGTAAGAAAATAATCACAAAGTCTTTTTTTAATATTTAAGTCCTAGAGCAGCTTGCTGCCACCCAGAAAAAAATGACAACTTCAGTTCTTTCACTCACTCTCCCAAGCATCCTCATGCAGCCTGTCTTGACATGCACCCTATGAACACAGCTGAGTCGGTTCACTTTACTTTTGCTAGTATATTCTTCTTTTCACATTTCATTTTCCACTTTAGACAAACTGAGGTTGAGTTTCCTGGCTCACTTGACTTTTTGTCTCCCATGTTGCCAAGTCCAAGTTTCTGCTTTCATTAGCACAGCCCCGTGAGTCAGGTTTTGTATTTTGCAGCTTTTTTTGCCCAAGCACACCAACCAGAATACTTTGGCTGACTTGACTGCAAGGACTCCTACAGCTTCTCCCCAGCCATACATCCTTTCACCCTTCTGATACATATGTCTTATGGATTAAGCATGCAAGGTGGAATGAAACTGGTGGGTGGTGGAATGCGGTATTGCAGGCCTGTTTCTCAGCTAGACTCTTCTGTTTGTCAGCTTCAGGACAGACTGCTTTACCTTCATCCTTGAAGAGCTGGTGTCTCACAGAAAGCAAGTTTGCTTCCTAGAAGGCTAGCCACAAGACGTAGTTCATTCTTAGGCTTTGCGCTACCTTTCCTCCCTGCTCAGGGCCTGCATTGGGATCACTGGGTGGTTGGGACCAGTGCCACCCTTGCTGTATTCCATCTCGGGGGCTCAGCTTTGTCAGGGTTTCTTTCAGGCTCCCAAGCTTGTCTTGCATGGGGCCAGAAGCAGTGTGTCCTGAACTGAGCACCATCCCTAATGGGGAAATACTCTCTTTGTCCGTCCTTGGGAGCTCATCTTTGGTAAGCCTGAGGGCCCTGCCAGTCTCGTGTGTACCCCTCACAGTGTGCACACTGCTTAAGCGTGCGGACTGTGTACCAGTTTCAAGCTGGCTGGTTTTCAGACCACTGGTATTTTACCCTGTTTGGTATCAGTACCAAGGTCCAGATAGGATAGAACTGCATAAACACACACTTGAATGTAAATAGGGAGGATTGGGTTTTACAAAGCTGTAGTGTGATGAGGCATGCCCCTGAGCTGATGACGTGAACAGGAATGTTAACCAGAGTAGCTAGCGTTTACTCCTTCACTGAAGGTGGAAGCAGAGTAGATCTAACTTGTTTTTAAGGATCAGCCATTTCTGAATGATAGGTATTCTATCCGCAGCATAGGCTTGTCCACCCTGATCTCAGCAGAAACAAGGACAGACGTAGGCATTTTGGCCCTTACTCTTTTGTTGTTCTGTCACATTTCTACTTGCCCAGAGGTGTTCTCTATAAACCATGCAAGGAGAAACCTTCTGTTCTCTTGTAGCGGAGAGATGCTTCCCCTCTCCCTCTGTCATTACAATGCTTGAAAGCACAAACACAGCTCAGGGTCTGGTTTCACATCCGTTGTGGAGGTCTGCTTTGTTTGTCTTCAATATTCCAGTGGTGGTGTGTAAATGACCCCCCAACACTTGTTCTTTCACTTTGAAACTGATTTCTCTCAGCTTGGCAGGTGAAACTCTAAATAGGTACGTCTGGCCCATTCCCTGGGGAGCTTAGAATGGCACCGACTAAAGTGGGAGAAGAGCTGACAGCTTTAAAGCTTTAGAAGTGGTAATAGGAGAGGTATGAGAAGACTTTTATAAGTCACTTTCTCCCACACCGTATTATGAAACCAACTAATTCCCATGCAGTGCATGCTCATGAGGCCAACTGCCACTTCCACTGTTGAATCTATGAATAAGTGCTTGCTCTGCACGGAGATGAGTGCTGTTCCCATATGCTGGGTTTTATTTTGTAGACAGAACAGTTGACACACTTTTTGTCTCAAAGATCAGAGTGCAGGGCATGTTTGTGTAAGGACAAATTATACAAGGTAGGTGCCTTTGTGTTTCTTAGTTAGGAACACAAGCCGGGATTTCTGCAGAGAGGTGAGTGCTTTGGCAGTTTTTTTGAATACAGTGCATCACATGCAGAAAAACTAGTGTTTGTTTGTATTTCACTTAATGAGTGAAACAGGATATAAATTTACAAGGAGCAAAGATAAATACAATGCCCTCTGGCATATTCACCAGCACTTTGTTCTCTTTCTCTCCTTTTCCCTGCTCACATATATGCACAGTACATGTGAGCACACACATATGCAGACAGTTGATGCATGGCTTTTATTAGTGCATTTGCCATTGATTGATTAGTACTTAGTATTAGTACTTCTTCTATTGATTGATTGCAGATGAAGTGACTATTTGACCTTTAATTATGAGCCTTGCTATTGAAAATGACATTGAGCTATGGCTTCACATAATCCATCTGGAAAGCCCGACATGATGCCATTCCCTGGAGTTCATTCAGTGAGAAGAGAAGAGGCCTTAAGGAAGTGCAAAGCTATCAGTGTGGCTCATCTAAAAAAATAGTGCAGTTGTTGTTTGCACTCACACAAAAGTTGCAACCGAGTACAGAATGTTATTTTCTTTCTTGCAGAGCGTGAACTGCTAGCTAGAAGTTACAACTCCAAAAGTATAAAATGGAGGATTGTCAAAAATATTTTCACTTTAATCCTTTGTGTTTACTATGTAAAATGATTTTATTAGCAAAAAATGGAGTAGTGCTACCTATTTTGGCTACCACAAGTGCAAATGTTAGTACTGTGGGTATGACAAACAGCAGATGGGGGGGGGGGAAATTAAGTGAAACAACAAAGATATAACCCACCTTATAATAAGATCAGGGTATTGTTTGTGATGCAGAGTGCATTTTTCTTCATTTGGATTTATCAGTGTAGCAGTTCTTTCACCATGGAATTCTTGAAGTAATGCAATTAAAGTTTCTAGACTACCAAATGCTTTTGGGAAAGAACAAAGTTTATTTTGCAAATAAGAGCCAAAAGGCAAACTTCCTTTTGTATTGTTTTAATTTCATTCACATTTTTTAAATACGCAGCTTCTTACTGCGTAAGTGCAGAGCTGATA